TCCTTCATCATGACAACGCTAGCTGTCACACAGCACACGTCAAACCGTTGATTTTTTTATCCAATAATAATGTTTTATCCAATAATAATCGAGATAATTGATGACTCATTGTCCGTATTCACCTGATTTATCACCTAATGACTTCTTTTTGTTCCTAAACATTAAAAATAAGATAACAGTGGTGTAAAGACTCTTTGTGTATAAACAAAATAAACAAAATAAATGGCGAAAAAGAGTCGTCGCATAATATATATAATTAAAGATAACAGTCAAAGATACATAAAATAAAAATATGTATATACTCCGAATCTTCAAAGAAACTACAAAGGAATAATACAAATAATAAATTTTGATAAAAAATTATTATTTTGGATTTGCATTGTATAAAAAATAATGATCTGTATTATATAAAATACTATTGAGAGAAAAATGTCGAATGTGCAATTAAAAATGATTAAATTAGATTTTGATCATGTTAGTATGATAAATGATACATAAATGTCTTATATAAAATATAGGAGACATTAAATCTAACCAAATTCGTTTTCAAAATTTAAATTTTATATCTGTTATTTTCGAGATATTGTATATTTGTTCCAGTTAATATAACGGCTGTTTTTTTATTTATAATCTTGCTTTGCTACTGTGGATACGCGATACCCGATGCATCTCTTACATACTACACACACACTATACACACCTATAAATATATAAAATTTTATGAATCTTACAATAATTTTTCTTTAAAAATGTTTTATAAGATTCTTTAACTATCTTTAAGGAGATACTGCTGTATCTTTAACGTATGAATTCTACTGATGTACAAAGATATATATTATACTCTTGAAAAATAATCTTTATGCGATACATATTGTATAATGTAGAAATTTCTTAGCTATAAAAAATTAGAGCGTGTAAAATTAAAATATGGAAACTTATACTTATAATATATATAAAGAAGTAAGTCATATATATTTTAGTCATTGATTTTCACAATAAAATTTTCTGTTATTCGTTACGTTGATACACAGAACAAGTGATAAAAGAGATATTGTATATTATGTATTATTATATATTTGTCATTAATGGTGCATTATGTTAATTAATTGCGTTTATAATCGAAAAAGATGTCTTATTAATCTAATACAAGTAAGTGCAAAGTACAATAACATAAATATTTGTATAATTATATCGTATTAAAACAAGTAGTTTTACACAGATGTTAATCTGTTTATCTTTGTTTGCAAGCTATAATGTAATAAATAATATGTATAACAGATTTTTAATATAATTTGCAAAGTTATTTCCATTTTCATTCTACCTTTCGATACATTTTCAGGATATATTCAGGATTTATGTAAATAAAAATGCAGGAGTAGCAACTAATATACGAGAAAGAACTTTTTTTTTGTTAAGATAAGATTTATTTTTTATTCACTGACACAGTTAAATGTTATGTGAAACAATGGTATTTTACTGTTTGGCGATGCAAATTCGCCTTGCTTATCATTATGTACTATTTCACATTATATGATTTACAGGGAGAATAATTATTTTCAAAAGACAAGAGAAAGAGAAAGAGGATGCATTTGTTACACTTTTAATGTTTATCATAATGTAATATACTGTTGATGTGTAATGTTTGAAATTGCAATCATATGTTGCGTTCATCGCTTTAAGTGATAGTCTGAATTATCAATTGTACAGAATTGTTGAGATTCGATAAAATATTTCATCATCAACTAGAACTATCCAATTAATAATAATGTACGTAATACGTTTCTATTAATTATCTCATATTACGTCGATATGTTTTCCTCTTAATCATCAATTTACAATTTCGATTACAAATTAATCTTTAATCTAGAACCTGCCATAAAATAAATTATAAAGTAAATAACACAATCAAATAATTACATTATAAATGAATAATAATATATTAAAATTTAATATTTTTTAATAAAAAAATTAAGTTTTAAATTTTTTATCGTTCAAAAGCACCAATTGTAATTATTTTTATATGTGTTTTATATAAAAAAATATTAGAGGGAATAAATTTTAATTAATAATATTTAAATGTATATGAAGTATTATATGAGTACATTTAAATGTGATTATCATAGTAAACATTGCACAATTATATTATATTATTTAAGATATTTGCATTTCCATATAACACAAATTATCGACAACAAGATTTGTGTACGTGTAATGTCAAAAATGCATCCTCTTCTCAAGACAAATATATGTTATTTCGCGACATTTCTGAAATGATTATACAAAATGCGTGGTCATGTCAGACTGTGCGATAAACTATTAAGTTTGACTTATATTCATACACACGTAATGTAAAACTATGTACAATATATAATGAAGAAAATCTAATGTCCCGCGTTTTTTTCACACTTAAACGTAATTGCGTTCTCACACCATAGAGTTCAAATTGATTTTTTTTTATAAAAAATATATATTTATGTATATATATGTATATATATATATATATATCTAAAAAATTTTATAGACACACATACACACGTACACACATACAATGTATGTAAGTATTAAGAGAGTACATTTATAAAATTTTGTTATCTTTTCAACCTAATTTTATATTTTTTTACAAATTTATCTTCATATTATTTGATTCATATTTTCGCGATGCGTTCTTACAATTAATGCGTTCTTTCACTCTTTTTGCGTTTGTCTAATTTCTCTATACTTGAAGCACTCTTCGACATGTGTGTTGAAATACAAATATAAATGCATCTCTGACGAGTTTCCAATACGTGACATACAACACTAATGAGTATATAATAACTATTCAATGATGATTGACAAAGTACAACGATAGCTAAATATAATATGGAAATCGGTAAACTAATAGATAGTAGATGAAATATCGTTGAGCTGCGTTCACGATTACTGCAGTCAATCATGAAGAGAAAAAAGAAAATATCTTACATCCTGATATCTTTTCACGAGAAATATATATATTTATTTACGTATATCGATATGTCGAAGCTGCGGTTTACTTAGAGCTATGAATGCTTCGAAGCGGTCGATTGATTAATTAGAGTAAAGAAATCTGTTTCAAAGCGTTTGTAACCAAATGCATCGCGACCAATATCGATCATACAACTCATATATTCTTGTATTTTTTAATAAAATATCATTTTTACAAAGTTATATACATAAATTCAAATAGACATCATATTCTTTCCTTTTTGTCTACTAATTTGCAGTCTAAAAATTGCCTTTATTTCATATATGCATATTAATATACAAATACTTTCTCACCAACATTTACTCGTACAAACATGTATTTGTGTTCATACCCACAATACAATGCTTTACGAAATTTTGCTAGTCTTTAGTATTTACACTTTTTTACTACAACATCGAAGACGCAGCATTTGACTAATTCTACAAATCTTTCTTATATATTTTTTATCTTTTCCTCAACACTTTGTGAAAACAGCTCAACTGCAACCGATATAATCGTATTCGAGAAACGGAAATGACAGCCAGCTTATATAATTATTTGTTCCCCCAAGATGTCTTTACAATAACGTATTGATATAACGTTTTCTCAGCCTTTTTTTTTATAAGAAAAAAAGGGAGGAAGAGAAGAGAGTAATAAAATAAAGAGCATCAGTTTTCATAATTTGTACTTTACATTCAAACGTGTGAAGTGACAAAATGAGATAAAGAGTTTTAGCATTTAAGGCGTTTTCTAACAAGAGATTAGATTGATAAACAACAGGGTGATTCACTGTGTTATACATAATGTACATTGTTAGTTACATCGTGCTGTCTTGTCCCTTGCTGAAAAACGCCATTAAACTAGAGATAGCGAACGCCCTTAAAGAGATTAACAAATATGTAATGTACAATAACACAACTATATTGTATATGAATGAATTTATGGAACAAACGCATCCTTGCACTATATCTTAAGACTATATCTACAGTTTATTTAAATAAAGATTATGGACAAATGTTAATGTACCTAAGCAATATTACACAGATAAAAACTGTCATGAATTGTCTGGCGTGATTGCATGATTCCCGTGCCAATTAAATAATGCTTACAATAATTCCATTTAGTACTCGAAAGAATAATCTTTCAGCGTTGTCTATCACGAACAAGCCTGCTGCATTTCTGCTTTAGCTGCTTTCATTGCTGTAACAGAATATTTTTACGTTAGTTTTACGTCAACGAAACAGATGTGAATGAGAATGAATTTTTTTTTTGATTATATGTAATGTACATTTGTTAGCAAATGATATTATTGAGTGATACATGATATATTATGTTATAAAAATAAAATCGTAGTCATGTGGAGTTATTAACATTGCTTGGAGGAAAAGTATGAAAGAATATCATTAGATTTTTACCTTCTCGTTCTCGCCTTCTTAATTTTTTCCGACGTCTTTCTATAGTAGCGAGTTCAACCTTTACGGCATTATACGTCTTACGTAAGTCGGATAATTTTTGTTGTAGTACAGCTATCCTTTGACTACCGTCCAATTCAGGATCTGTGAAAATACAATATATAGCAACATGTAGATTAGTTTTAGAAAATATTCTTGCTCAGGATTAAAAGCAATCAAATGAGCAAAGATCCTCATGATAAGATTGTGCAAACAAAAAAGTATTCGTTACTCAACGTACCCAATTCGACATAAAAATTGTACTTTGTTGGTCTCGGTGATCTTGACGAGTAAGTACTGAGATCGGGAACATTGGTGCTCGTGTGATTCGTCGGCGTGTTATTGACGCTACAGAGATTGAATCCCTC